GTGGATGAGTCTGGCAGCTGCATTCATGATAGACTGATAGACTGAAGGGGGGATATCCTGTGTAGTGGAAGGCCAATGAGGAGGGAGTTACAATAGTCAAGACGAGAGATAACAAGGGAGTGGATGAGTAATTTTGCGGTGTCACTGGTGAGGAAGGGGCGTATTTTGGAGATGTTACGAAGGTGAAGGCGGCAGGATTTGGATAGTGATTGGATGTGGGGATGTGGGGAAGAAAGGTGAGTCAAGGATGACACCTAGGACCTTGGCATTGGAGGAGGGTTGGATAGTTGTGTTATCAATCTCAACTGAAATGTTGGGGGAAGGTGCACGGGTATGAGGAAATATCATGAGCTCAGTTTTTGAAAGATTGAGCTTTAAGAAATGTTGTGACATCCAGACGGATATGTCAGTTAGTAGATTAGTGACACGAGAGGACACAGAGGGGGAGAGTTGTGGAGTGGAAAGATAAATTTGAGTGTCATCGGCATAGAGATGGTGTTGGAAGCATGTGAGGTTATTAGTTGACTAAACACTGTAGTCCCGAGGATGGGAGCGTGCACTTGAGGGTGGCTCCATGGGATGCTGAAGGAGTTTGGAGCCACCCTCAGAAAGGAAGTGATCTGCAGCACTGGGGGAAGGGAGAAAATACAAGCATGACAAGATCTGTACACAAAACATAGCACTGCACCAAGTTGAGGAATTAGGACCACTACATTATTGGAAGGAGGCCATTCCTTACAAAATTACCTTCATAGAAACATCCCAGCAGGGCAGCCTGGGCTCTCATGAAGCATCCCAGGCGCTCCTCCCCCTGATGCCCCGGGGTCCCAGGCACAACAAGGGACGGAATGTTGGGGACGGCGGTTTTCCAGCCACCCAATCATCTCGATCCGCACTCAGGCACTATTTATGCACGACTATCAAATACCGGTCCCTGAAGAAGCTAAACTTGCGAAACGTGCTGGGACTATTGGGATAATTATTTTAGTTATGGAATTGGTTTATGTAATTTTGTAAACTTGGGACCATAAGGGCAATCATGTCAGCGATGTCAATTGGATCATGCAATTTTGAATACCATGGATTTTACATGTGTACACATCACAACGCAGGTTTAACGTGTTTAGCCATTAACGTTAATAAATGACTCCAGTAATTCATGAATTAGAACTGTATTCACCTGTCTCTGTGTATAGATGTGTACTGGAATCCTGAATAGGACAAACATCTTCATCACTGTGGTCTGCCATCTCCATCTGACTTAACTCGTATGCATAATCGATCCTATCAGAACTGAAAAAAATATTACACAGTGAAACCCATTCTATTTCAAGACATAACAATATATACTAGATGAAGCATTTGGCTAAAAATCAACTAGAAATATATAACAATACATTAATAAGCAAATATGGTCAAAATCAAAGCAGATTTATAGATATTTCCATGTAAAAGATCTATGGGACAACTTATATAATATTTAACATAAGCTGCACTAGACAGCAGTTCACACCATTACAGATGGCTTCATACCTTTGGATTGCAGTAATGCACAATGATTTTGAATGGCACGGTATGTGTTCGCTCACTTCCCAATCTACTGAGCCGACCTGTGACAGTCTCATTGTCACAGGTCGGCTAGAACTACGAGGTGAGTGAAAAGCACTCACCTCATAGTTCTCCTTTAATACAATGCTCCAGAATAGAAAGGTATGAAGGGGGCCTTAATTACTCTTTACCTATTAGAATTCTGTATTATTCTCAGCAGCTCCTTGAGGGCTTTGTTGTAATGTTTCTTGTCATTGATAGTCACAGCTGAATGTAATGCTGGTGACACAGGCATCCTCGACTCTGCCATCTAATAATCCAGAAAATCTGAGAAGGCCAGAAAAAAAAAGAAATAATCACAATAGGGTCAATATAAAATGCTGTGCTTTTGTACAAACCAGTCTGCTCATCAAAACAAGACCAGAATAAGACTGCTGACAGAAAATATTAAAAGTAATAATTCCAGTGGTACCCCACCCTTCGTTCTCTGTTTGCTTTTTATCCTACTCCAAGCTAACTAATCAAATTTGTCTTTGATGTAAAATCTAGGTATATCCATGCCAACTTTATACAGCTGCAGTCCTAAATAACTTCCTTGCCTTGTACCTCAGTGCTTGTGCTGCAAGATGTAAGTTTGCTGAGCTGCATTGGCTTGTAGTTCACCAGGTCTGTTTCCAAACAAGGCTGCGCTTGGAAACAGGGATTGCTGAGCTGCTATGCACCTGTATAGGCTGCTTACAAGGTTAAGCGCAGGTTATGGAGGCTTGATGGAAAACAAAATGGGCCGTCACTGAACTGTCCTGCAAAAGTTAATAGCCTGGCTGTCATGACGATCTCATGGCTAACATGCTAAGTACCTAATCTAACACAAGCAGAGGCAGCTCTCTAATTAGGCGAGTTAGGCGGTCGCCTTAGGCCTCGCGGCCACCTAACTCGCCTCCACTACAGCTCCCCCTCACCTGACTCAGTCAGCCCTTGAGCAGAGGGAGCAGCGATTTCCTCACGGGAAGAATGGGGCTCTGGCAATTCCCCCCACAGCCTCCGTACCGCACGCTTTTCACTCACCTCATAGTTCTAGCCGACCTGTGACAATGAGACTGTCACAGGTCGGCTCAGTAGATCGGGAGGTGAGCGAACACATGCCAGTGTTCGCCCACTTCTCGATCCTGTCACTGCTCTCTGCCGTGACAGGGGGAGGGGATGGATTCCCCCCTCCCCGCTCCGCCAGCGCTGACTGGGGGAACGGACGGGGGCGGGTACAGCTGGCTCTGCCTCTAGATAGGCAGAGGCAGCTGTCACTCACGCAGCTGGGCAGATCTCGACATCGATGTCGGGATCCGCTCCGGCTGCGGCGTCTCAGTATACCACGAGCTGTAGCTAGCGGTATACTGAGCTTAGGGTGATGGGAGGACGCTAGTTTGTGTCCTCCCGTTACCCAAGGAGAACTATGGGGAAAAGCCCTGACCCCATAGTTCTCATTTAAGGATTTTGATCAGTTTCCCTAGCTAGTCTGCTTTTGTACATCCCTATCATGACTGCAATGTGACGTGATCAGCGAATTAAACTTCCTCTCCAAGACCATAATACAGCTTCTCCTCTTTACTCATGATAAGCAAGACTTAAGGAAGCATTTCCCCCCCCTTTTTCTGTCCCTTTACTTGACAGGAAACACTGTTGCATTTGTGACCACTGCTCTTATGGACCCAAAAAGAAAAAAAATTACCATAAATCAGTATTATACCTTTTCTGGCATAAAGAGTTCGTTAAAAATTTAATTAACCCTTGCAGTCGGGCTACCCCTGCACTGCAAGGATTAAGTGCTTGTTTTTGTCTGGGTGCCCAAAAAAAAAATTATACTCAGCAGACCACTTGAGCTGTCTCCCTTCTTCTGTGATCACTGAAGCATGTCTCCCCCTCTGCTGCACAGATGGACTGCTCCTCAACTTCCGTCTATACACAATGTATAGAGCGTGATGAAAACGGGATCCTTATACCGCTGCAGCTGATGGGGAGAGACACATTTGAGACACCGGTCTAAGAACAAGCCGGCTCGGATAGTCTGGCAAGCATAACTTTTCTTTTTTTAGCTCCTAGACACAAACGAGCACTTAATCCTTGCAGTGCGGAGGGTTAAAAGACATTTTTTTCCTGGAGTTCTTCTTAAAGTTAAAAGTATTCATCTATGAATGCAAAAAAGTAACCGGAATATAGCTTCACTGGGCTCACGTTTTATTTCATGTAAAAAGAGAGCCATGCCAAAAGACACTAAAAACATAATTAAAAAGACTAACCTACAGACCTCTTTTTGGAACAGGTTTCTCATCTGGAGTCTGCTTCTACCCCACACACATCAGAGACAAAGAGGTTCTCTCAGTAGAGATGTTACTGTATTACTGATTTAGTGACGCGTGTTTAATGAAAACCTTTAAGTAGATGTCTTCTCAGTTTTAAAGTAAGAAAGGGTTAGATGCTCTCCTAAGGTTTATAATGTTGTCATTGTCTGCAAAACTAACCTCTGTTTTTAAGCCAAACAGTTTAATTTGGTCTTTGTGCTGACTTACTAAACTGAGCAATGGGAAATCTTTCCACTGTCATTTGGGGAGACTTCCCTTTGCCTCTTATGCAAGACTGGAACAGTAAGCAGGACAGAATGTGAGGGGAAATCTTCCCTGAGGTTCAGACTCTACACAAAGTATAGAACTAGTAGCTAGACATCTACTTGAAACATGATCTTTTGGGAGATGTTGAAAAACACTTAACTGAAGTTTATATATAGACCAGCGAGATAAAGCTTTGGGTCTAGCTGATCAGAGCTTACATTGCTCTACTGACTCTCTCCCTGTCCCACGTGAAAGCACTTGGCCACAAAGAGCTGTATCATGGAAGGAAGGGGAGAGAGTCCCACATTCCCCCCACCTGGTATTTCCCTAGCCATACATACCGTAGCTGAAGGGATGAGCGTATTAGGGTAGTAAAGGCAAGGGAAAGTATCTGTAATAGTAAAGAGGGAGGGTGGGCAGCAAAACAAACCTCTTACTTTGCCCTGCCTGGTTCATTTGAAGAGTGGAGATTCAGAGAAATGCTTACAAATGCACACTCTTGACTAGCACTCATTTCCCAGATCTTTGTATACCAATGAACTATAGCTGCAGCTAACGATTATTTTAAAAATCGATTAGTTAGCCGACTATAAAGTTCGATTAATCGGATAAAAAATAAAATACATTTTAAAAAATGGCTCCAGTGATGGGACTTCTAGTTTGTATTGAGATTGTAGTCCATCACAGGAGCAAGCTTGGAGCAGTGAAAGTAAAAAAAAGTGTGGTGTGCAATATAGTGAAATGAAAAGTGTAAAATTATACACCAATGAATGCAGAATGGCACCGGCTATAGAGGACTACAAAACCCACCAATAGTAAATTATACAGCACAATGCAGAATACCACCAGCTATAGAGGAATACAACAAATGCCAGCAATAGTACATTATAGCTGGCGGTATTCTGCATTGCACCACTGTATAATGTATTATTGCTGGGTTTTGTAGTCCTCTATAGCTAATGGCATTCGGCATTGCACCATTTGTAGTCCTCTATACAGCGCAATGCATAATACCACCAGCTATAACGGAAGACAACAAATCCCAGCAATACATTATACATATAGTGTATAATGTATTGCTGGGATTTGTATTCCTCTATAGCTGATGGTACATTGCTCTGTATAATAATATACAGCACAATGTATCATCAGCTATAGAGGAATACAAATCCCAGCAATACATTATAGAGCACCATGTGTGGGTGGGAGTGCAGGCTTACCTGAGCAGTCCACCAGCAACCTGCTTCTGAGATGTGGCCTGTCTATCAGCGGCTGTCATCCCCCCACACCTGCTCCTCCTTACTTCTTCTCCCTGCGCCCCTGTGCCGATCGTGAGGCGGGGAGGAGGTGCGGCGTGTGTAGCGTGGATGTGAACGGGCCTGGCAGCGGGAGGAGGTACGGTGCGCAGCGTGTGTGGACCCGTGAACAGGGCCTACTAATCGGAAGCCGATTAATCAATGATTGAAAACGTTGACAACTTTTTCAATAAATCGATTATAAATCGATTTAGTCGATTAGATGTTGCAGCCCTACAGTGAACACCCCATAGATTAATCTAATGAAACACAATGCTATGAATAAAATGTCAAAAACATGAAGCTTACCACTAAGTTCTATTGAAATGTCTCACTTCTGTAAAAGCCAAAAAGAGGTCTTCGTACTGCAAGGAAAAAAAAAAAAAAAACTTTACCAACTGCCTGCAGAGCATAGTTGAAGCATTAGAAGTTTTATACAGATATATGTGTCATTATTAGTAGTTCCTGCATAGTTTCCTGTAGATGTGTTTAAAAAATAAACATGAAAAGGTCTATAAGAAATCAGTGGGGAGGACTAGGTGTGCAGGCATCAACTTTTTTTTTTTTTTTTAAGCTGCCTAGTCGCTGGAGAACTTTAGATTTCCCTTTAAAGGGAAAAAAGACAATTAACAACCAACAGAGGTTTTAGCATTCCCCTACTAAAGGAGAACTATGGGGTAAGTGTTTTCCCCATAGTTCTCCTCAGGATCACGGGAGGACATAAACTAGCATCCTCCCATGACCCAAAGCTCAGTATGCTGCGAGCTACAGCTCGCGGTATACTGAGACTGCCGCAGCCGGGACGGATCCCGACAATGCTGTTGAGATCCATCCAGCTGCTTGATTGACAGCTGGCTCTGCCTATCTAGATGCAGAGCCAGCTGTACCCGCCCCTCCCCCCAGTCAGCGTTGGAGGATCGGACAGGGGAGGGGGGAATCCCTGCAGGGAGCCGTGAGTGACAGTTACGGCTCTCTGCAGGCACAGGATCGAAAAGTGAGCGAGCGACTGTATGTGTTCGCTCACTTCCCGATCTATTGAGCCGACGTGTGACAGTTTCAGTGTCACACGTCGGCTTGAACTATGAGGTTGAGTGAAATATCACTCACCTTATAGTTCTCCTTTAAGGGCTTGTTCACCCCAAGTGCAGAGCAGATGCAGAGCAGTTACAGAACGCATAAAAAAAATGCATCCAATGTATTCCAATGGTATTTTGGGCTCTAGTTCACACCATAGCGTTCCGTTCCAGAGCAAGTGGAAAAACTGCAGCATGTCCTATTTTTTCTGCTCTGGAACGCACCAAAATTTAAGAAAAATAAATGAAAACAATCACTGTTTCTTGAGGATGATTAAACATAATGGAGGAAATTTATCAAATCTGGAGCAGTTGCCCATGGCAACCAATGAGCATCTCTTTTCAGTTTG